AATGGTTGTAATTCTGTAATAACCTGATTTCTGTCGTTAAAAGAATTTTTATTTTGTGTTTGGCTGCTTTTGTATATCGTTTTTTAAGTACCAGTTGAAAATCTTTCGCTTTTATAGATTATATCGCTCCACACACGGGTCCGCCTGCAGAGTAATGATTCGGCTATACGCGTGACACTTATGTCGGAGAAGTTGCATTATTTTACTTCGCTTACATCAGACTGTTTAGAAAGCAATTTGTCAGATTATCTGCTGCGCCGATGAAGCAGTGAATGTCATTTTGAGGACTCTGAACAGTGTGGCACACATTTTACAGTACATCGTGTATACACGTCACAATCAAGATTTAGGTCTACGATGTAGATGTACATAAATTTACGGTTGTTTTAATCTTATTAATTAAGAAATTTTATTTGCATTACTCTGAAATGAACGTACCTAAACAGAATGATGTGGTTGTGAGATTTTGGGGGGGGTGGGGGGGGGTAAATTTTGTTTATGGTCGCCTGGCTTGTGACGCGGCGTATTCTTTATTTTGTGGGACATGCGGACAGTCTTAACCAGCGAAGCTATCCGTAAGTCTGATTATTCAGAATCAAAATAAAATTTTTAAAATATGTAAGTGAAAATTTTTCACCTCATAGTTTTGAATCTAATCATAAGAGGAAGCATCTTTCAGGGTGGACCGGACAATGTACGCATGAATATGGCGTCTGAATAAAATATGCTCCCCCATCTCAATATCTTTGCCCAGATATGAATAAAAGATGGACTTCAATTGGGCATGAAGATCGAAACCTGTGGACTTCGCCCGACTTCCTTCCTTTCCTCGTCCTTCACTGAACATTTCAGTGTGCCGTTACTAAAACAAGGCTGGAAAGGTGTTATCCGTACGAGAATACAGTTTCCACATGCGTTCTTTGCATATTTTGAATTCTGAATGCTCCAGGCTGGTATAAAAATATGTATACTATGGAAGCGTTCCCGTCAGTATCCGCCGCAGAATCGAACAGAGGCCACAAGACCGAACGTCGTGGTCGACAGGTCAGCGCTCCGGATTCGTATACGGGACGTGACGGGCACAAATTTCAGCCCCAAAGATCGGCTATCGTGACTGATGTTTTGTGGTTCTCCTCAGTCTCTCCAGAAAAATGTCGGGACAACGCCTTTAATTAGGCCACGGCCGCTTCCTTTCAGACCCCTTCTAATTTATTATTCACTGTCATTCCTGCATTCGACGCTTATAGTCTCAGATACTGAATGCCTCGTTGAATAAAAACAAAAGTGTGTATGTTCAACATAAGATTATTCACTCCTACCCACTCTCCTTCTTATTCAGAAAGGAAATGGGCGAAGAGGTATCTAATGTGCATAGTTTCCAGTATTATCGCTTAAATGCGTTTTGACGTTGTTTTATTTCTTCTCTACTGATTTGTTTGTCGGAAGGCGATTATTGAGAGAACAGCATAGATACGGATGGCTCTGTTTTGATTAATAAATGCAATGTATATCCTGCGATACATGTTGAAATGTCACCTGACCTGATAATTTAAAACAATTTTTAAGGGTTTCATTTATCATGTTTTCGATATCTTATTTATGTAATGAAAATCACGTAACATAACTCCAGTTTGGTCTGTGGTAGTGTACTGAACTCTTACGTAAGTCGTCACATGATCGGGTCTGATCATTTTTATTGTTTCATTCAGCCACCATGTTGTTGTCGTACGTCATGCAAAGAATTGGTGTACTAAAGTTTGAGTATTTTCCAAATATATATCATCATACATCATTGTACTACCAAATAATAAATGGCTGTAGTGTCGATGTCACCTCATAAGTTAGTTGGTCATCCATGTTGGTATTACCGATTCCAGGAAATTAAAAATCAGGAGTTCAGTGTAGCTTCTAACATGTGTGCGAAATTTCATTCAAATCCGCCCAGCCTTACATGCTCTGCTTTCGTCCACACCGTGAGCATAAGGGCTTAGTAAACGCATGACACACTGAAACATGGAATTGTGTTTCTAAGCGTAAGGGCGCAGGTTGAATCACACTTAAATAACTGCCAGATTAATCTTTTCGTAATATTTATATGCTTCTTTTATGCAGTCTTTCAACTCTTACTACCACAACTTTCTGAAAGCAACTAACTCACCGTCCCGCCAAGAGGACGACTCGTGGGGCTAGGAGTTCTCCGATCACTGACCTAGTTTGCCAAGCCTTGCGGAACCTCCTACCTGTAATCACAACCTTCATAAGAAAGGGAGATTCCTGAATGGATATAAGCCGTTTTTACTGTTATTACTGCAGGATTAATCGTCTGAATTTGCATATGAAAAATCAGTTCGTTCTGTACCCATACTCCTGACCTACATTTTTCATCGTAGTGTAGCGCTGAAAAGATGTTGGTTTTATAAGTGTTATTTATTCGAAAACATTCACATCTGTAAGATATATATTCATATTTGTTGCTTGATTACTTCAATTTTAACTTGCATTCTTTCCTGGTGTCCAGAATAAGACGAGAAGCGGAGAGCAGTGTCATTTAAATGTTAACATTGTACCCATGAAATACTTCTCATGTGCGTTTCTCATTTTAACGTTTACATTTCTTAATATAAATAACGTCCAATTATGGGTAAGTACTGAGTAAACAGCAGTTTTTAGCACGAACTGCCTTTGCCCTCTGGTTGTACTGTTGGTATTTTCTCGAAAAGATATTTAACCGTTGCGTACTGCGTGTGCTTAACAGTTTGTGTAAGCTCAAGTTTTGCTAATTAACTGTTGGGGTGCTCGTTTTGTTGATTCAGCGAACTACACAAATTCAGCTAATAGTCGCTGCATACATTTTTATTGAAGGTACAGTAATTAGCCTGTAATTTATTAAGAGAATTTCTATATATTCAGCAAAAGAATGGTCATTTCAGTTTCAATCGTAGATAAGTCCGCTTTTATGGTGTGGTTTTCCGAATATAACATGAATGGGGAGAATATAAAAGGGCAATAAATCTTGTCCTTCTCTCCTTTTCTTCTTTTCCTTGATCATCATCTGCCTCTCCCTCTCATCTCCTACCTACCTACTTCCCCCCTCCCTGAATTCATTAATTTCTCCTTTCATTTTTGTCTTCTCCGGTCGTTATCGTCTACCTCTTTGCCCACTTCTCTTTATCTTCTCCCACTTCCCTTAGTGTACGACCCGCCCAATTATGCGTTCTGGAACTCGGTATATTAACTTTTATCTTTTGAAACTGTCACTTACTGATCTGTCAGACCATTCCTACCCATTAAGACAGTCAATCCGTGGTTTTCTGAGGCTTTTTTCCAAAACAGTACACGTTCTGTGTATGTGTGTCACCAAAAGCGGAGGTTTTGTCTTTCTCCGAAACGTCGGAATCATTTTGGTAAATAAAATAACATTGATCTTCAGAAGTATATGTGTAAGAGTGTGACAATATATTTTATTATTTCTGTGTACTTTATTGAAAGACTGGCAAAGAACCGTCACTTTTGATAACCTTTTTTTTATTATTATTATGACAGCCTTCTGGGATATTGAGCCCTGTAGTGTCGTAGAAATTGACAGACGTTTCAGTATTGCTTACTCAGAAGGATGTCATCTTTATATTAGCCGCTGTGAGAACCTGACATTTCAATTAGATCTCATTTCGTCAACATTAATATAAATGCAATTATTGTTAATATATTAGTGAATTTTATTTTAAGAAAATATCTGATTAATAATGGACACTTTTAAGAGTTTTGATATTTAGAGTTTTGTAAGATAAATTTTAGACCTGTAATTCCCTTTGAGAAATGAAATTCTTGCTTTGTATCCGAGCTTGTCTTTTTCAACACAGATAAATGAACTGTAACAACAAATTTTCCAGTGGTCAAGTCTGACAATGGCAAAATCAAATTCACACATAATATCAGACAAAAAATCAGTACCCTCTTTCTTTCCTTTGTGAATTGTGAAATGTTAAATACATATCAGATTGCGGAAGATGGGTGATGTAGGGGGAAGCATAATTCAGGTGGGGGCGAGGGTTGAAATCCGAGTGTTGACCGCTCTAGGCCTTTTACCTCTGTGCTGATTTTCATCTCGTCTCCCTCCCCTTTATTTCCAGTCAGTCGAAATTACCCACAAGGCTGTCCTGTAGTTAATAGAGACGTGTTCCAACCGGCAATGTTCAAATTGTACGAACTCTGGGAATACGGTAATACAAACATTTTAGCATGTGTAAAACGACGGAAATACAGTGTTAATTAATTAGCAACACGAAATGCTAGCGAGTTTAGAAATTCACAACTCCTAATATCAGATTTAATTGTGTAGTTTATTTTTACCTCCCATGAACTCTCGCAAATTGATTACTGTTTTTTTTAACATGCGTTTTGTTTTCCAGAAGCACAACTGCCAACTGTTTATTCGGTTATTTGGGGTTAAAATTCCCTGCCAAGGGAAGTAAACTTTTGAATTGTCAATGAAATTGAAAACTCTTTTGTACATAAAGACATCGTCAGGTGAAAATATCAAGCAATCGCAGTCAGGAAACAGTTTATTTATTTATGTTTCTTTATTTGCTAATTTTATTTATTTACTTATTTATTTGATCTGATCTGATCTACATATTTGTTTATTTATTCATCCAATTTTTATTTACTTATTAATTCATTCAGTTATCTATTTATTTATTTACGTATTTACATGTTCATGTATTTATCATTGTTGCAGACAGACTACCATTACTATTATTAACATTACCATTACCATCCCCACCCACAAAATTAGCTTTTAAGGCATTAATCGTTTCAAACCAGGGCTTCAAGATGATAATCTCACGATTTACGAAGTCTAAGAAACGCATTTCACGTACGTATGGTGTTTTGGTGAGACAGACCTCAGTCACACGAGTTTTCTTTTTCGAAATTTTTTTATCAGTCTGCATAAAAATTTAGATAACTTTTAATAAGTGGAACTTTCTTTTCCGTTGCAGAGCCACACTATCCAGAATTTGGAAACTTACACACAGTACCGTGTCTCTCTCCAAGTGTTCAACCCAGAAGGACCTGGACCGAGTACAACGGTGCTAGTGATGACAGATGAAGGCGGTGAGTAAATAGTTTAACATCCTCCTCAGAGATGGCAGAGTGTTACAGTAGGCATGTCGCGCTGTCATGCGGCACGCTCTAGAAATATGTGTTTAAACTCGTTATTTTTGTTTCTTTTTCCCACGCCGAAAGGGGTGGTGTTAGTCGATCCAAAAGCGAGGGATTTTTGAATAAGTGTGGGAAATCATATCCGTCAGAGATAAGGAATCAATTTTCTGTTAGAACCACCTAAACATCTGAGATTTAAGGTTGAATACGCGCTGAAACTTTAGGTTGTCATTGGATCACAATCGTAAAGTACATGTAACATATATTAACGAACGTGGTACAAATACGTACGTAGAGACAGAGAGAGGACATTTCACTTAAAACGAATCCAAATACGATCATCGAACCGCGTTAACAGTGTAAAAATACCCCGGAAACATTTCTTTCTTTCGTACGTATTGATTGCTGCACAGGAACATTCCACGATTCGACATATTGTCATTATTACCCAACACACATTGCTCTGTGAAATTTATTTCTTGTACTTTTCTAAAAACACTTCGAAATTTACAGTCACATTATTTGCGAGTCGATAGTGTCCTAAGAGAATGTAGAACGGAAATCCGACTGATATCGCGCACGATAGACGTCGTGTGAGCACCTGACTTAGCTTCCGGTAGTTATCAGTCGACTGCAGCACTATTTTGCAATGTGGTACGTGAGCGTTGGTAAATACCTCGAAGTCTTCAGTTTGATTTCAATATGGATGTTGGAACGTTGCTGCGTGTGGCTTGGTAGCTATTGGCGGATGATTCCGAGAAGTTTATTATGATTTACGTCATTATGATTTAATATTTAGTTGTTTACATTTTAGAACGTTTTATTCCAGACGACGACATATTAATGCTCTATTCTTTATTAATCTACTCAAAAGGCAAAGTAAATTGTTGATCCATTTTGGACACTACTGGGCAGAGCAATAGTACGTAGTCCTCCAGCTAGGTGCGTTATTGCTGCAAATATGCAGATTGTTTAACATTTTTTACGAAAACTAGTGTCTCCTTTGAAGATACATTCTCGATACGAGGTTTTAGATTGTCTATGTTATGTTGACTTTATATATTGAATACTGTTTGCCTGTCATAGGCAATTTACTGTTGGAAAACACTCTGACGAATTGAACTGTTAAGATTGTCTGCTTTTTAGAATCAGTGTTCGAATAAATAATCGGACTTCTATCGTGGGTAAGTTAACGTTGCTACGTACACATCAGAACATTCTACTAATTCAGCATTTAAGATTATGTTTGTTTATTCTTAACGCAGAATTTGCATTTGAGATATTTGTGGCGCAGAAATGAATATTCAGGTACTCACTTTGTTCCCGTCCCTTGCTGAAGAATGTTCCATACTGTAAACATACGGAATGGAACACAAGGCCCTCTCGTAGATTGAATAGAATCAGTTATGAACTGTAGACATACTCGTTTATTAATTTCATTGTCGACATACTGACATGTGGTATTCAGCATTTATTTAGCAATCTCTGTTCTCAGAGAGAGATTTTTTGCTTACAAAATTACTTGCTTCGAATGTTTGAAATTATTCATGGTTCTTCGTCGAGTCTTCTACTGAATTCTTCTATAGTCCACGACTGTAATCTTGAGACTTGCAAGGAATGCAGGAAGTCCGTAGCGTTCCTCCTTCACCCCGCAAGTCTCAAGATTAAAGTCGTGGACTGTACTTCGCAAGTAGTGTCCCGTTAACCTTTCTTCGACTCCAGCACACCCTAATTTTTCAGACACATGACAGCACGCGACAAAATGTCTCCTTACAAAAATGGTGATACGAAACTATACACGAATACCATAAATATGTATCTACAGAGTGTCCCAAAAAGTTGTATACGCACAAGGTTAATATTCCTATTATTCAATTCAATTCATTTTCTTGGGACACCTGACCTATAAAAATGCAGACATATGAAAACAGAACATAAATCATGTTGAATAAAACTATTGGTATGAACCTGTGTGTGTGTGTTTAGCAAATTCCAATTACGAAAGATAATATATTGCCCTTTTTTTAGAACTATTACGTGCGAAAAAATAATTTCTTATAATAATTCGCGACACACCCGAAACCATGTGGGGGGCACACCAGTTACAGAACTGCGTGTTACAGTACGCTGAGTGATTTGATATGCAGCAACTACCAACAACACTAATGGGCGAGTCTGCCCACTGAACTAAATGATTCAGCAATTTTATGTTAGTCATTAGAATTCAGTTTGTTTTGTAGTCACTGTTATGTGGCTTTTTCGACACACTGTTTAAAAGCATTATCAATTTTTAAAATTGTTGTATATGTTCTGGAACGTAATATCTTGCTTACGTGCCCCCCCCCCCCAAAAAAAAAAAAAAACATGAATTACAAGTATCTGAACACGAATTGTCGAGGAAATTATTTGAACACGGTAAACTAAGAGGTGTTCAGGATGTTACATACGAGAACTTTTGTTTTTTAAGCAGCTCATCTGATATTGTTGGGTTAGTGAAATCAAGAAGTTTTTTGCCGGTTTTATTAAAATCACGTGGCACCGTAATGTACGCGTTCAAAATATTGGTGGAGAAACCGCTTTGAAAAGTGTCTAGTTGAAAGACCAAGACGGAGATGGAATGATGCGATCAGTATCAATTCTACGGGAAATAGGTCAGAATTGTGAGTCTGGAAATGGATGTGACGAGCATAGGACGATGTCCATTGGCGAGCATCGTATTCTAATACCAGGAAATTAATCGGGACACGTGCATTTCGAAGAAGACCCTCGGCGAAGATAGCGACGTGCAGTTACGTTCTGCTTCGCGTCGCAATTCGTAGTATTGAAGTGAACAATGGACTGGCAACGACTGGGGGAAAAAGTCTAACGGAATAATACTACGTCAGTGTGGTCTGTCCCGAAGGGAATGAACTTGTGTCATGTGACTACCGAGTTTAACGTTATAATTCGACATACTTACAGTTTAAAGCCGAGGTTTATAACCTGTGGATCACGATCTTCAGATTTGTTATGTCGTAGGGCGTTTTTCGTAAATTAAAATAATTCCGCTGGCTATGCCAGCTCAAGGCATCCCAGGTGGGACTACGTTCGCATATTTTTTTATTAAACGGGATCGCGGACAGTCGGGGAAAAAAACTCTCCGCTTTCATTATTGCAATCGTAAGTTTTTTTACAAACTGCAAACGACTAGTTTTAACATAACACGTAAATACATTTCTTTGTTTTAAATGGAAAATAAAATTAATTTTGTCCTTTGCAGCATTTTTCTACTGTCACTTCAGCGTACTTGTATTTCAGTACTTCCCTGTTCGTGTAGTGGGTACTTGTCGGACTTATTACGATCACAAAAACACAAGCGACATCAGCGTTGAGACGTCGTCGCTCGGAAACAGTCTCGAATCTGGAAAAATGTCACAACATTTTCTACTATAAATAATCTCCCCTTAAAACCTGCTTAGGTATTGTACCACAGTTTTGAATCACCCTGTGTGCACACGTCCTAGTCCTTCTGTTGGCCATATAGGAAGGAATTAGTGGGCCAGTATCTTTGTGATTAGAAGCGAAGTCTAGAATCGTGTTACAGCTTCGAGAATAAGGAAGACCGGAAGTAATTGGAAGCCATGACTCAGTTACTGCAAGAAAACAGCTCTTAATACGGATTTTCTTCGTGTTCTAACCTTGTTACTTTTATTTACGTGTTACTTCTAGTGCTCATTGAAGTAACAATTTTTGTACAGCTGGACAGTGCATTTGTTGTGAGTTCCTAAACTACACCAGGAGTCAAAACTTTCAGAAAGAGTCATAGTCTACCGTCAGTATTTGAAATTTGCTAATCAGATGGGCGTGTGATCTATCAGACGAAACCCAATGAGGATATTTATGTGCTCTTATTATTTTCAGAGCAGGTAGGCGGATGAAAATCGGGAAGGTTGGGAATTTAGCTTAAATGTTTCTTCTAAATGTTATTTTCCATTTAATATCGAGGAATATATTGGTTTGTACTTGCAACCTAGTACATTACGTAGTCCAGTTCAAGATGCTACCATGGGCTGGGCATGTAGTTCAAATGAAAATGCATACCGAATTTTAGTGAGGAAATATTTTGGGAGACAGCCTATTGGAAGGAAGAAAATGCGATGTCTTAAGACAGTAGCTTGTGAAGCCGGGAAGCAGCGAGTGGTTTATAGTCGTATTCAACGACGAACTTCTGTTGTTGTTTTTTTCTGTCGAAAAGTTGCTCTGAGTTTTCTTACTGGTATACTTTTTTCAGCTCCTGATTTTAATGATGATTTGTAACTGTTGTTTCTGAATACTTTAAATTAGTCAAACTTACCAAATGATTTATGAGTTGTCTTTATGTTATAATTTCATCTGCATTCTTGTGGTTATGCCTGAACGTATAAACTAATTTTCTCTGCATTTATTTTCATTCAATAACAGCTTTCTTCCGTCTGTCTCACCTACAGAGGTCACATTATACGTCATATCATTAGAAATTGTAGTCAGTAAAATTGTTTATGCATTTATTCCACTCTTTACCTGCACGTGTCATATGAGTCCTACATTGGTGCTAGATGAGACTGTGTATCTAAAGGAGAAGAGAATGTTCAATTCCCGTCTGTAGCGAAAGGTGTATATTCAGAAGCTACAAATAAAATATTAATCCTTGGTGTGCTGACCCTTTGAAACCGAAGGTCGTCTGAATAATATTTATAAAAGCATATTTACTCCAAGAAAATCATTCAAGGAATGTTCTGCAGCGTTCAGCAAGAACTAGCAGGCCTGGGTATTTCCTACTAAAAGAGCTAACACTCGGAACTGAAAAACATTGGCTGTTAGAAGTGCGCAGAATATTAACTCAGCGTGTTTCTCTTTGTTCTTCATCAGGGATTGTTTTAGAGCAGGGGGGGGAAGGTCTTCAGCAGATATTAAGCGCTTCTTTAGACATGTTA